GGAATCACTATTCCTGGAAGTGTTCAAAAACATGTGGATGTGGCATGTGGGGACACGGCGGAGTGGAGAATGTGGAGATGATGGAGTAATGGTTGGACTTGACATTCTAAGATGGACTGCAATGAACATTATGAATATCTATGATCAAATACAACGTAACGTACAAATGCCATTCAGTTCAAGAAAAAAAAAGAAATAAATTTAATTACAATTCTGTCTGTAAGAGACTGTTTATGAAGTTTTGATTCGAGCTTGACAAATTACAACATCCTTAGTTAACCTTTTCTTTACAGAGAAGCATTTTCAATTGCACAAAAAAGTTGCTAAAATAAGCTCTTAAAATAACTCCAAAATTTTAGTATTCTCTTCCCTAAAGTTTACTTGAAATTACTGTTTTTAATCAGCTCAACCACTAGTGACAAGCTAAATAAAGGTCCGAAATGCTGCTTCTCAGCAGATTATTCCTCTCCAGATACTAGTTTATACAACAAAAGCCTGAAATTCCTTTTCTGTCTTTATAAAAGATTTGAAAGCATTAGCTATGTGTATGCACAAATCCTAATGGTGTACACTTCAGTAGTACTTCCACATCCGCACTTGTCTTTTATAAGAATCTTTTCCCATTCTGAGTCAGATTTCAGAATGTATTTTTAAAGAAATGCCCCTCCTGCGGGGATGCTCAGAAATTTTAAACATTACTACAGACAAACACCAAGGAATTTTTTAAACAAGCTATGCTAATTCAAGCCTACTTATCTACCTGTAATTGGTACAATCATTTGTATACTACAGGAAGAATTCTAAAGTTACAGAAGAAAATAGATAAATAAAACAACAGAAAATACAGATCTAATTAGTTGTGTTTACCAAGGATGGCACTTAATAAAGAAAAACAACGCAAAAAACCAAACCAAAAAGATTAACCTACATTAAGGCAAAATTTTTCAAGTTGAATTCATAATGCCACAGAAAAAAATAAAATTTTAAAAAGACACCAACCTTTGCCTGATTTGGAATAGTAAATGCTGCCAGGACATTACTAGGAAGCTCACAAAGGTGACCAACATGCACAGTCAAAGCATGAAGCTCTTCCACCAACACTGATGGTAACTGAGCTTCTAGTTCTTCATAAGGATGCAGCACTCTATCATTTTCCACCTCAGGGGGTTCCAGATACCTGAATGTACAGAAAAATACAATACACACAATCAGAAAACAGGTAAGTAGCAGCTACACAAAGCTCAGTAACCAATTCAGTAAAATGTGTGTAAATCTCACCTGAAGATGAAAACTTTCACATAATGCAAAAATTTAAGGCACTGATGCCTGATCCTCTCTGCTTCAGAGTGCAAGTGCGCAGCTTGACCTGAAGTAAAAGAGATCAGCAGCTTAAAGCAGATGACAAGCACACCATGACTTCTTTAACATTTGCATTCTCCACAGTAATTAGACCAGACCACTGGAAAGACATCCTCTGAGGACAAGCTGGGAGGTGACTGATGGTAAACACCCACTTCTAAATGTCATTTTGCCAGAGAGATCCATTCTTTGTCTTATCTCAGGCACATGTCCAGATACAGACAGAAGAGAAGACACTCAGGAAAGGTGAAGGTAAGTACCCTCAGTGCTAGAAGAAATCATTCAGCCCTCCTGTCCTGCTTCCTGACTGCTTCCAAGACACCTTCAGTAAAGACATGGGTAAAACAATTTGTCAGTACCCTTTCCTCCTGACAGACTTAAACTGTGATAAGGTTCAGTAATAAGGTACAAATAAGTTCAATAATGTGAACTTATTTGTAAATATGCTTTGTAACTTTTCTTTGGAAGCATCACTGTTGCACAGAACCTTCAGCTGTATAATGCTAAGAGCCAGCCATTCACAATCCTGCCTTTCACTTGCAGCTCTGTATGCTTTCAGGCAGCTATTCTGGCTGTATGTCTCCTTTCCTTTGTTCTCTGAAGCTATTGCTCTCGTGGTGTTACCATCTTCACCTTGCACCTACAAGCTCAAACACCCCCATTAGAGCAGAGATTCACTGGAAGTTATTGGCACTGTGTGAGAATCACTCCTTATTTATTCCTATACCTTGCCTTGTAGCTTTTAGCTTATATTAGTGCATAATAAACAAAGTAACTACTGCCCAACAATACATATACACACACAAGCTTAACAAGCAGTCAGCCTGCAACACGATTACAACACATGCTGATTATTCAGAGCATCTTCAATGCAAGCATCAAATGAGGGCCTTGAGCAGGACCAAATGAAAGTGCATCACCCTAGAGGAGATGCATGGCAAAAACTCTTGGTCACCTACCACACTGGACTGCAGAGCCAGGGAAAGACAGTTCTCCTTTCTCCTCTCCCCAGCTGACCACTGGCGAGTCTTCCCATTTTTTTAATCTTGCTCTCACTCTCCCTTTTGTTTTCCCCCATCTCCTCCAATTAACCTGGAAGTTCTGGAAGTTCATATATGACACCTGTTACAGATGTCAATAATAAAGCTTTGTGCATACAAACCTATCTCCACATCTTTTGAGCAACAACACTCAGTTGGCAAAGCAAACCAACTGGTACAAGATCCAGAATATTCCAGTGTACAGCCTACCTGCACCACACCAGAAGCTGTAGCATCTGCCATGGTAATGAACCAAAAGTTTGGAACAGAGTGAATTGATCCTCTTAAAGTAATTATTTATAGATATTACTGCTGATTTGTACAAATAACAAATACTGCATCCTAAATTCTCAGAACTGTTTAAACAGAATTTTATATTACAGTGTTTTCATATGCCTTCTTCATTACACAGTTCTCAGTCCAAAGTCTCCAAAGCTCATCAAGACTGATAGGAAATGAAATTTAAAGCAAAATATTGATATCTATATAAACACACAGTACCACATAGATTTACTGAGCCAAAATTCGTAAATAGCATTTTGACAGTGGCGACAGCACATTTTTTTAAGACATCAATAATAACTAACATCACCCTGCTGACCATTTAAAATACTTCAATCCTCATGACACCCTTCTACTACTAATCTACTTCTATAAAGGGGGAACTGAGTCACAGCTGAATCAGTGACTTGCTTCTGATTCAGAAAGAAAGCCTGGTGCAAAGCACAAAATTCAAGTTCTTCATTTTACTAGCTTAATTGACATGTGGAAGAATGGGATACAAAGAAGAGAATGCAACCAAGCAGGTGCTTAAATTTAAGTGAAAAAAAACCCCACAGAAGAGTTTCTTGACATTGAAACATACAGTTCTGTAGTTGAAACCTACAGAACAGTTTCTTGATGATGAACTGCATATGAAAGAAGCTTGATGATAAATTCCCATCAATTATTTAAATGGCAGAACATCACAATATTAAAAAAACAATAGTAATGTGTAAAAATATTCACTCATAGAACACTAGCATGTTATCTGTAATAAGACACTATAGACAGTCTGTTTCTGAGTAATTACTGAACTTCTCAACTTGCTAAGTAATTCAGCCTTCAACTTACAATAAGCCCAAGGCTGCAATAATCCTTCAGAAACATGCTGCTTCTCATGCCTCAGAATTTAATTGAAAGAAAGCATTTTGTAGTGATCCCATTTTATCGATCCTACTGCAAAGATAAACTAAGTTTGTAAATAACTTAAAACTAACCAAATCTAACTTGTTTAAATGTCAGCCAATGAAACACTGAAAAAAGATCCAAGCCACTACCTTTGTAGTTAAAATAATTGTTGGGATGATCAATGAAATTTTCTGGTTTTAATTGAAAGAGTTAATAGTTTTGCTGAATTCTGCTCTAGGGGTGACACCTTAAGTCAAATTAATGCAAAATGCCTCCCTAAGGATTGCTCTGTCCATCTACCTTTACAAACAAATCTGGTTGCAAACTGACTCCCAGCATTTCCACTCTATCTATTTCCCTACTATTTTACTTCACTTGGTTGCCTATATTTCTACCCTAACTGCAGGTTTATGCTGCTTATAAAGGAGCTGTTCTGAGGCACACTCCAAAATCCCTTGGTCAAGAGTCAGAGCACAAGCACGAACTGTGAGAATTTACTTCTTTAATGAAAGGTAGTCAGTTGCCTACTGCAATGTCAAATTAAATTTGTAAAACTTACCAAAATCAGATGAACTCATTTGTACTAGGTTTTCCAGTCTGTATATCTGTTCCCTAATTAAAGGAATACAAAGATTTAGGGTATTTATATAGATATAAGTTGTTTAACTCCACTTTAGTAAACATAAAATAGAACAGAGAAAGGTAAGAGCTGTTTCTTGCTTTGTAGCTCTGAAAAAGCTTATGGAAATGTAACTCAGAAAACAGTTTTAGTCAAAGGCAATGGACATATCCAAGTGTGAAGGGATGACATTGAGTAGACTTTGTGCGTGTTTATAAATCATTAAACACAGTAAAAAAATCCCCAAACAATTGTCTGAATATTGGGGAAGGCAAAAAACAATACAGACAAAAACCCCCAAAAGCCATTCCCTGCAAGTGATCTTACCATAAGCATAACTCAGCTTCCTATTTGACCACAGATTAAACCTAAAAGTCAGTTCTCATGGCATACACTCAGTACTAAATTAATCCACTTTAATGTGAATGTGCCTTAGTGCATCCTGCCTGCAGCTTCTCCCGTTCCTGCTCAGGGTGATCAGCTCCTGAACCCCAGGACAAAGCATAAACAGCAACACAAAGAGCTGAGTAAAAGGAGGTGTCTTTAGAAAAGCTAAAGTTCAGTTCAGTTTTGGAGAGGAAAGAGAACATTTTTAAAGAAGCCCAGTGTCACTGTAAGTGAATATTTTTTTAAAAGCTGTAACATAGGTAAACACTCGGCCATATTCTGTAACAACTGTTATTTGCAAGTGGTCTTCCAGCAGAATCTCCACAGAGATAAAGCAGTACTAAACTGAATATATGAAAAGCACAACTGTGTCAGACAGACTTTTGAAAGAAAATGCTGCATAAATTGAGGAGAGAGCTCTGTCTCATTTCTTATACAGTCAAAGCAATAACTACTGAAGGATTCTAAAATAGGCTACTTGGATCTAACACAAATCAAATGTTCTTATGAAAAAAACCCTGAAAACTAGGAAGCATTTAAAAGACACAAGAAGCATCTAAAAGACAAAACTACAGGCTGTAAGTTGCATATTAAAGTGCATACAGACAGTAAAATGATCTCCCTTCACTCTATCTTGTTTTCTTGGATAAAGCCATGTCAGCTACCCTTCCATCATTTAGGTGGGTTGTAGAGTTTTTGGTCTGTTTTGAAATCAAAGTTGAATTTCTGCCTGGATTTTTCAAGGCTTTCAACCACGAAAAAAGGAAGGAAGTCTGAAGCAGGAGGGCTTTATGAAACAGGGCTGCTGAGACTGGTGTTTAGAGAAGGAAGGTACAAGAAAGGAGTGACAGAAAAAAAAAGAAAAATACTCTCCAGTGGATTGACAAAGACAGAACACAATGAGCTGATAAAATTAAAGCACAAACTGGGCAGAAGAACATAACAAAAATACCATTATTTAAATAAATCATTTTAGTTTCAATTTGCATTTGTACCTCAAGGATTGATCCTCATGGCTGTTAATCATTAAATCATTTGATTTGCAAATACACATTCTGACAGATAAACTGGTACTCCTGTTTTTTAATCAAATCTATATTATATTAATATACCCACTTAAATGGTTACATAGTCTCATTCACTTTGACTCACACTTCTCTCACATGAAAACCCGTAAGTAAAATTTTTACTATGCAATTACTATTTTAACTTGCAGTTCTGCAGCATACTGTTATTTATTACAATATTTAAAAACTGTAAATAATTTTTAATTACAATATTAAGTATAATCTCAGACATTAAAAGAGACTAATTTTCTGTAGGCATACATTTAAACATAGATATTACCTTTACTTCATAAACATAACTATTTACAGCCACCCTATCTTCAAAAACTACTATAACTTATACTTAACACATTCAATTTCCACAGTGGAAAAAGCAGAAAAAGCAGTTTTTCTACTTTTAGTTGTCAACTGATCTATAAATGAAAGTGTTCCATTTTATGACTGAAACAAATGAACTGAATGTCTTTGCAGAGACATCCCCCTTTGCAGAGGAACTTGTCACACAAAAAGACAACTTAGCAACCAAACACTTGGCCAAGAGTTAGCTGAAATCCATTATTCCTACCAGGTCAGTAGGTTTTAAAGAAAGCACAGCTTGAATAACTTAAAAACCACATTATGCCTTATGTTCATCTCTATTACAATTACAGAGCAATTTACATTACAGGAAAAAAAACTTTAAGAATAGCCATTTAATTCAACATTCCTGTGTCACTGCCCAGTGATTTTATGTTAATGACCAGTTAAAAAAATCAGACTAAATACTGAAACTTTTAACTAAATTGTACTCCTATCTCCCACTTAATCACTCTGGGGTTTTTTTAAAAAACACAGTGAGGTCAAAGCTTGCATCAAGCAAGCAAAGCTAAATAACAGTGCTTTTAATACACTTCCAGTCATCTATGTCACCATGTTCCCCCAAGCCAGACCCTATTAATCATGTTGCACATCATGCCCTTGGTCATACCCTAAAGGGATGGAAGAATCCCAAAAGAAAGGGCCGATGGAATACACCACATATATTTGTGAAATCATACAAAAGCTCCTCTCCCTTCCACTCTGTATGTGCTGTACATCCTGAGGATTATCAGTAGAAAAGAGGATTATCAGTGATCTGTGTATTTGCATTGACCAGATTAAGCACCTACATTGAATTAGTCAAACACTGAGTAACTGTATCTGAAGAGATTGCTGAAGCTATCCTAATCCAAACAATTGAAGAAAGCACTGCATCCAGCATTTGTAGTATTTGATTTTTAACCTCCACTTTCCTTTATTCACAAAAAGGACTAAAAATCTTCAAAAGACAACTTCAATTATATGGGCAGCACAATCTCATTCAAGGAAATTTTATATAGTCTATTCATATAATTCTGAAGATAGAGCCTTCTAAATTAACCCCAACACTCTGTTGTAATAACTATACTTAATTTTTTTTATCTGGTGATGCCTCAGATATGCACCACACTACTTAGAAACTTAATAATAAGTCACATAATATTAAGAACCTGTGACACAATGTACTTCTTCCTGCAATTCCATCTGTGTCTTATCCATCACATACTGAAGCATTAAACAGACAGCATTAATCATTTTTAGATGCATTGCACAGCCCAGTCTTTTATGGTGTTTTAAATGTGAAGTTTGTAACACTCTTACAGAAGGTATAATTACAGATGTGGATTAATTATAAAATACAATGTTATCATACCTAAGTAATCCAAAGAGAAATCCACAGGATTCAACTAATGCCATTTCAGTAACCCACTGAAAGCCAAACAATTCCACTGTATCTTCTTCATAGTCATTTGGAGAAGGATCTAGTCTCAGCAAAACCCTGCAAAATACAGCCAACAACATTCATACATTTGCCAGTAATAAACCTATGGAGTACAATAGCTACAGCTGGCTTATGTACCACCAATACTTTCTGAATGTATCAGCAACATGTACACGACAGATGTTTCAAAGACAGCTGTACCTTTTAGAGCAATAGGATCTATAGAAATACAGCTCCTAGCTTCAAAAGTAAAAACAGGATATAGCCACAGGTCACAAGCAGATTTTGGAAATCAAAATTAACAAGTTACCCTCTTGAAGTATTTTCATACTTACAAAGGGGCTGAGACAACACACAGACTGTGAAGAGAAGATGCTGCTATGTAAGATAATCCACTGCTCTGTATGTTCAGGATCTGTCTCAAGGCACACTATATACCTAGTAACTAATGCTAGAACATACATTTATTCATTTAATAATATTTATACTGAACACACTGCTAAAAGCACACTTTTAGGCAGGTGAACAGATGAGGCTCAAAATGGCACCTTGTCACTATAACTCAAGCTAACACTAGGCCATAATTACCCTTTGCTCTTGTTAAAGAAAAATTAAATAACACCAGAATTATCATTTTACTCAAAGTGGAGAAAATCAGACACTTGTGTTGTTAAAACATTATAATTGTGCAAATAAAAAAATGTTTCATTACCATGCATTAAAAAAAAATTGCAGCAAACTGCATGACAGCATGGTAAATTATTTCAGAATTTTCCAGCTGCCTTTCATAAAATAATCCCACATAGAGGCAGCTCAATTCTCTACGATGTAAAAATTATTCTTATTTTAAAAATTAAAAAGATATACCAGGCAAGCACTTACTTTCCATTATATTACACACCAAGTTCTTATTCTGCTTGAACTATGCACTAGTTCCAATTTCATTCTCAGAGGCAAAAAGAGAATCTGCTGAATAATTGGCTCAACCTTCCATAACACTTTAATTCACTTGGTAACTTTCTGAACACTGGACTGTTTTGAAGCCCCTAGCAATCAAATCCAGCTACTCCAGTTCCAAGCAACAATGACAGAAGAGTCCCTGACATGGAGGCTTTTCCAGGACTTTGCAATCCAGGTAGACAACATGAACAAACAGTGGAAGAACAGTGTTATCACAACTCTAGTGACTGGGAAACCTGTCTACATACAAGCTCCTCAGTGAGTTTTAATGACAGAAACAATTTCAGGTGAAATGTTTCCTTGTCAATGTGGAATCCACTACTGATATATTCATGCAGATACAGGATCCCTCAATCATCTACTTGATGTAAATTTGAATGAACGTGCTCTAATGCAACTAAAAATATGATAAGGCAGAGAAAGACGGAGGTGCAGTGGATGCCCCCCTTAAGCCTTTACAGAAAACACGGTGGGGAAAAAAGTAACAACACAAAATAGAAAGCCTGGCAGGAAGACAGACAGACAGAAAGATTAAGCTTTTGTAGAGAAAACAAGACAACCCCTGTAAGATGAGCAAACAGCACAGAAAACTAGGGTGAATGACAGACAGCAAGGCAGATAACAATTAAACCAAAGTGACATTTTAAAATCTCACAGAAAATACTTATTTGCTATGCCTATGACATCAGAACCTTAAATCCAGAATGCATGCAAGGGTAAAGCTTTGAGAAAGATGGTCTTGAAGCTACTAGGGCCAGCTCCAGAAATTTGGGGAAGCCAGGCAGAGTGGAAAAGAGAGAAAAATGGCCAGCATTTATTAGAGCAGATGACTGGGAAAAGCAGCACTGAAGCTCCACAGAAATTCAAGCGATCTCAGATGCTGCTGCCCAACAGGCCAGTTTTGAATTATCCTAACAGGCTTGTAAATGTCCATTACAGTATCTTAAAAGCAAGTTCAGAAAGCTAAGAACTGCATCTAGGGCACCATTCAAAGCTGTTTATCAACACAACAGCGCTTCCCACTTTGGTATCACCAGGCTGATTTCAGGAACAGAAGAACAAACTGATTTGGAAACCTGTCAGCACCAAACATGAGTGGAAAGAACATCTAAAAAGGCTTTTATATTTGTAATTCCAAAAAATCCCATACCTCTTAAGAGACCCACTTGCTAAATAAGACTCTGCAGAGAACCTTCTCCCTCCATTTTGGCTGTCAAAGGCACAAGAAAAGAAAGCCGGCCTTGAGCTCTCATGCTCCACTTCCATCGCCAGCTCCAAGCTGTCAGTGAGAAATGGGGACGTGGAGGAAGCACCACAGTCATCCTCCATTGTTTTCACCTGGCCCAAAAAAAAAAAAGTTAAATACAAAAATACTCATAGCATTTCTTCAAATAAATGTCTCATTGTTACAACTCCACATCATCCTTCAGCTCAAATGAGGACACAGATCCGACCAACTGCAACACTGAAGTAAAAGCCACCAAGAAGGGCAATCATGGTCACATGCTCTGTCACACAATTCTGCACCTCTGTGCAACCCCATCTTCCTCACTGAACAGAGCCTGTTCAAGGAGACACATTAGTGACTCAAAAAAACCCCAAACATTTTCTTCTGGTTTGGCTCTCTAAATTAATTAGTGATGAGGTTAGACTAGCAGTAGGTTATAACATGAGGCAGCAATGCATTACAAAGCTACTTCCAGCAACACTGCATTTTATGACCAGAGTAGCTATGCTATGGAAGTACATCATGTACTAGAGGCTCACAATATTAAAAACAAAAATCTAACTACCTAGTAATCTGAAAAAAAAGAGAAACAAAACCAAAAAAGGATTACCATGTCCAAAAGAAGTTCACTGTACAGATATTACTGTATTCATACTTTATACAATATACTGTAAGAGCAGAACTAGGGAACAGGTGTCAGAGTCCGATAAAAATGCAGAAACAATGTAACTAAAATGCTAAATTAAAGTTTTTAACTTCTTTGCTGGTAGATTTTGATATGGCCCTTGCCGGATCTAGTCAACACAATGGCTGGAGTTAACTAAAATATATGCCCAAGGGGGAAAAAAAAAAAAAGAAGAAAACAGTTTACGTTCTACTTTCTCACGTTCTCTATTAACAGTTTCCATTTCTCACTTTCTCTATTCACATTCCTGTGGAGCAGGCGGCTGGGAAAGCAGGAAAAGAATGACTTCTGTGCTCCAGTTTACAGCCAGACCCTGTGCAGGGGTGTTGGGACAGCTGAAGGGAACGCTCTCAGCCACAAGGGCTCCAAGGAAAGCCTGTTCAGTTCGGGGAACCAAAATCGCCCCACAGGACAGAAACCCCTGGGGGAACAGTTACATAAGAGGGCAGCTCTTCCCGGCCATAGCTCCCATCCGTTCCATACCTGTCTACCACATCTCTGATGCAGCGGAAACAAATGAACACTTTAAGCACCTCTTGGTCCTCCAAGCAGAACCTTCCAGGCGGCTGCAATCCGCGGGCAGCAGCTGCAAAGCGGCGGGAACAGCACTGTGGGCCGTCGGGACGCGCCCACGAACACGACCCGCACGTCTACCGCCTGGGCCCCGCGCCGCTGCCCTCTGCCCGCAGGCGCTTCCCGGCCGGGCCAGCCTCGGGCGGGCGCCACAGGGACTCGGGCGGTTCCTGCGCGCCGCCCGCGCCGCCGCTGCCGCTCCGCGCCCGGGCCCGTTCCCGTTCCGTACGGCCCGCGCGTTGCCGCAAGCCGCGCACTGCGCAGGCGCCAAGGCGCCCATTGGCCGCCGGCCGCTCCTCCCCAGCCCCGCTTCCTCCACCCGCTCCGCCTCCTCCCGCCCCGGCGCGGCAGCGCCTGCCCCGGCTCCCGCCCGCTCCGCCTCCTCCCCGCCATGGCAGCGCCTGCCCCGCCTGCCCCAGCTCCTGCCGCGGCTCCCGCCCCCTCTCTCCCGCCCTCTCTCTCCCCGCCTTCCTCTCCCGCTCCCTCTCCTCGTCCCGGCCCGCCCAGCCCAGGGCGAAGCGCCGCCCGCCGCTCCTCCCAGGAGTGACAGGCCGGCCAGTTTCCCTGCTCGGCTGGGTGTCCCTTGGCGGGCCCGCCACCACAGGTGGTTTCTGGCCACCTGGCACATGAACGCCACCGTCTTGCCACTGCTGTTCAATTGCCTTCTTTGTGCCCGCAGAATCGTGGAACCATAGAATGGCTTGGGTTGGAAGGGGCATTAAAGATCACGAACTTCCAACCCTGCTGTGGTGACTTCAAACACACCAGGGTGTTCAGAGCCTGGGCTAAAACCCCTCCAGGGATGGGGCATCCACAGCATCGCTGTTCAACCTGTTCCAGTGCCAAACCACCCTTACTGTAAAGAATTTCTTCCTAACACCTAATGTAAACCTACTCTCGAATTGAACTCATTCCCCCTTGTCCTGTCTCTACATGCTGTTATAAATTAGTCTTGGCCCATCTTTCCTGTAAGTTCCCTTGTACTGCAACTGTCCCCTACCTTTCTCTGGTGTCTTTCTTGTCTAGATTTTACTTGAACCTCATTTCCCTTCTTCTCCTCAGCTTTCTCAGTTCACTCCTTCCATGTTCCCTCACAGAGATGGGCATGAAGCTCTCCTGGTCTTTTCTGATGTCTTACATATGGAGATCCAGCCTTCCTATGTCTGCAGTGTAATGCTCGTATCCCCAAACACACACAATTGCCATCAAGCTTAGGAAGTGGTGTTCAGAGCATTGAAATTCAAGCTGGATATCACTCCTATCATTTACTGCAGCATCTCCATTGGGTGTCACAGCCACCACAGAACGGGCGCCAGGGCAAAAGTCCTAAACCCTGTGCCTGGCATAACTTAGCTTAAAGTGCCTGCTGTGCACCTAGAGGCTTCTGGGTCTTTTTTTTTTTTTTTTAAGTGTTGTATTATTTTGGATTGCTGTGGTTTGATTTTATTTCAAAATGAATGCTCTTCCATTTCTGCCTGGATTTTGGGTGCAAAATAGCAGCAGTGCACTAAACTTCCTTCTAGTAAGAAAGTTGCTATAAAAAGTTTTGCTGCCGCTGCTACAGCTTGCTCTGAAAGCTTTGCTGTGATTTAAAATGCTTCATTTGCTCCTGTGTCTGTAAGAATCTCTCATTTCCTTCTTTAAATTCCTGTCTAATTAAAAAAACAGTACATCATGGTTAAATAAAACTGTACCCAGGATAACCCTGATTTCCATATGCAGATTTATCTGCACTGACAGCCCCCTCTCCCTCTCTTAGTCTTTCTGTTTCCTCTCCCTCCCTCACTCTCCCTCTTTCTCTTCCCCTCTCTTTCTCTCCTTGTCTTTTTGTCTCTTTATGTCTGTTGCATTATGCCTGAATAATTTTCAGTCTTTTTTTTTCTCTCCTCTTGCACGCACATGCTAAAATAACTAGACAAAGATGCAAGGTGGTTGCTGCAGTCCCTGTCTCTAGGACAAAACCAAGAAAGCTTGTGATTGCAATGCCACCTTTCCTTTTTTTTTTCTCTTCTTTTTTTCTTCCCCAGCCATGCTTGGTGATTAAACTTCCTCAGGATGGGGAAGAAAAAGGAGCTGGAAATGAAATAGGGTTGAGGAAAAATCCTATTGCAGCAGCTGCATCCAGTGGTGTCTGCTGCCAGATGTGCGAAGGTTCCTGGGGTCCTTGTCACTAAAAGGCAGTATTCAAATATTTGGAGACAAAAGCTGCATCCTCAGTGATCATTTTCTTTATTTAACATGGCAGCAGGCATCGTGTGGGGAAAAATCAACATGCTGGATGTTGAATCGGACTTTTCTCCTTTCTGGGATGAAAGGATGTTATCTATCCCGTGCCAAGAGGGAACTGAGGTAAGAGAGCTGATCCAGCTCGGTTTTTTTCCTAGTATATTTCCTAAGCATCTTTTCTGAAACAACCTATATATATATATGAGTGTGTCTGTGTGTGTGTGTATAGATGTTTCTATGTTTGTATATTTGTGTATTCAATTTCAAGGCAGTGAGCGGTAATGCTTTTTTTTCTCTGCCTTCACATCAACCCAGAGAAAGTTAATTCACAATATATATTCAGAGCTTGTTCAGAAGGGTCGTTTTGTGGGATTTTTTTTTTAATACCTTTTTGTTTCCAGAGAAGACTTCAGCAGTGACATCATGGTCGGCTGCTGATATTAAACCCTATTTTCAAAGTCTGTAAAAAAAAAAGCCAGTAACTTTGTGATAAGAAATTGTGCAGGAGATTCATATGCTCTATTTTTCGGTTGCACTCTAAATATTGGAAGTCTTATTAAAGCGATAGTGAGAATTTTTTATTATTATTATTTCTAGCACAGAAGCGATGAATGCTGCATAATTAAGTACAGTATTTAATTTGGCTGTTGTGAAGCAAAAGAATAAGGTAATAATTTTTATTGTACTAATCAGACTCAAGATGTTCTCTGTGTTAATTGGGTTAAAAAAATTGCAGTACTTATTAGAAATTCTAATTTCACAATGCAGCACTGACAATAAGCTCAGCCAGTGAATTATTCACATCTTTAATTTGCTCTCTTAATGACAGTGTTCTGTAATCAGAGTGCAGCGACTGCTTCCTATGCATTATGTATGATGTTCAGGACTTAAATGCAGGACATTATGAAGCCTCTCAGTGGCTCAGTAATTAGTTTTCCACAAGACAGGGCTTAGATATTCACAGATAAAAGTCTACAGCTGAGATAATGTTAAGGTGGTGACTCATGCTAACAAAAGCAGGGAAGTTCAAATTTAATGCTGAAACTGCTCTCCATTCTCCCTCATTGTGCGTAGGCGCAGGGGGAGGGGAGCAAAGTCTCCCAAAGTAGCCCGGCACGGTGAGTGCGCCATGGGCACGGCCCGCAGGGGCAGCCCGGGCTCCTTCCACTCCGGGCCGGGCTTTTGGCAACTTTGCTGATGGGAGGGGGGAGGCGGAGCTGCCTTTGGTGCCGCTTTGTAGTAGTGGTTGTGAGAAGGGCAGCAATGTACACACTGTCAGAGAGCAATCGTGTATGGGTGAGATATATTTTAAAGGATTTCATTTGAAGCACTGACCTTCATAACTTTGTCGAATTACGGTGTTTTGAGTGGGAGCTACTTTGTTTTCTACAGGAACTTTGAGAACACCTGATACTCGCTGTATTGCAGTTGTACCTACTTCAGCTGTCATGGTCCTTATGCATTTTAGAAACTATATTTTCTGCAGTTTAGTTATCACTATCCAAAAGATGAACTGTGATGAAGGTTTGTTCTTTTTGTCTTGGTTCATTTACCTGGTGTTAGATCAAGTGGTTTAAATGTAGGGAATAAGTATGGCTGTGTAACTTTCCTACTTCTACACACTGCTTATTGTAGAATATTAGGCAAGAATATTGAAATGAAGCTGGAAAATGATAGGTTTTCTGAACTTAGTTGCTAATCAGGCTGGGAGCTGTACATTTGTCCTGTGTCTCCCTCCCATTAATCAGACATTTTTATTGGAAGCAACATAACTGAATAGAGAAGGTTCTTTACTTTGTGTTATCTCTCCAAAGGCTCCAAAGACTTGTGGCCGTGTACAGGATTGTGATTCTAATTATTAAATTTGATCTGCCTGTAAAAAGTTTAGGCTTAAATTAAAAACAAACAAAAAAAACACTAAAGATCCCAACCTAACAGTAAAGTAGAGATATGATAATAAGAACTTGGAGTACATCTAGATTTTTAAAGCAAAATATTGTAAAACTAATTCCTTTGAATTTTTTCAGCAGAGTTTACATCTGGAATTCAGTGTTACTAGCAGCTTTTGCTAATGTTGTTTGGCCTCAAGGCCATGGGACATGTTACTAAGTAATTGCTTTCAGCAAGCAAAATCCTACATCCTATGGCTGGATCAGATATTGGTTGTATATAGTCCAGCCCTGAAAGTCATTATCATTAAACTGTTGAATAAAGAAGCTGCAGATTGGATCAATGTTGCTAGGTGATTCATAGATTATATCAGAATCCAAGTGATTGTGTATATGAAGAACCTGATTTGGTCTTTTCCAGAAAAAATACTTTCCTTCCAAGTCAAGATCTCACAGCAGGTGGGTCACTCACTTCATGGCTACATTTCTTCAGTTACTTCAGCATGGAATCATACAATTGAAACTTATTCCCTACAAGTGTCAGACCTGCCCCCCCTCTTCCTCCAAAGCCACAATCAATAAAAGTTTCTTTTTAAGTGAGCCCTTGCCTGTCTGCCTAAAGATTTATGATTACTTACCTAAGTGACTTACCTAAGACAGCATTTCACTAGTCTTCCCATTAGAATGTTTTTTGTGTTTGCTGATCTTAAACTTAACCTGCTAAAAGTAAATTACTTCAACCCATTAGTTTTTGTTAGTTAGTAGTTACAGGGATTTTTATATTCCTCTTTGCCCCAGACTCACATATTTGAGATTCTCAGTCATGTTTCCACTGTGTTATTCTTTTAAACAATCCCTGGTTTTTGTTTTGTTCTTTATAGAAAAAAGCCCCCAATATTATTCTTGTATTTCTTTAATTTTTGTTGCTGTGATCTGGACTCTCATTATTTGTACTTTCTTGAAATGCAGTGTTCTAGACTTAGATGTAATTTCATATGCCATATAAGTTCTATATTTTCACTTAATGAAATGGGGTTGTCACTTCTTAAGAAAATCTATTTTCCCTGAGAAAATGACTTGTGCATGGTGGGTACAAAGACATCTATTAACCCAGGCTACAGTCTAGGGTATCTACAGTACAATTGGAAAAGGTGCAGCATGTGTTTGAACATGTTTTTAATTCAAGGATTTATGCTTGTAGCAGGAGTCTTTATGGATATTGTTTCCAATATCCTTGTCTCACAGGATAAGTACCTGTGACTGACCTGATTACTGATGCCCAGATGTGAGCTATCCAGCTGTAAAGAATATCTGAAGTGTTCAATCCTCAGGATTGTTTCAAGTTGTACTATTGCAGAGTCAAACTTTTGTAACAGTGCCCATGTTATAAAGTAGATGGGGGCTTAGCAGTTAAAATTTGAACTTTTCCAGTCAGATTAGACAATCTGAATTTGAGGCACTATTACAGGCAGGTGAGAATACTGTTTTACAAAAGTGGCAAGGATTTTACTAGCCATCAAAAATAACAGTCCATGGTTAACTGTGCAGCAGTGTGTTTTAGGCAAAAAAACCCCAAACATTTAGAAAGTTATCCCATTCTAGAAGAATGCCTAGAAGATTGACTCTAAGTCTGAGCTATGCATGTGGGAAAGTGCCAATTGCTGTCTGCCCAATCTGTTAGGGTAAAGTGGAGGTCCATTCAGTTTTAGCTCAGAGAAGGGAAGGGCCCAATATATTTCCTGGGTCAGAGGAAGATAGTTCATACTATCCTTGAGTTGTCATGGCATGGGAGGAGAATAACATTTATGAAGTCCAAATGGAAATCATGTGTCTGAAGAGTTAAAGATGACTGGCTATGCTTCCAGAAGATCAGGTGTAATAAGTTAAAAAAGACATAGGGATACCAAGAAAAGTTTTGAGAACCTTTACATGGTTACACAGACATCTAGTTCATCTATCTGCAATGTATTTTTAACTTTTACTGTCCTCTTACTGATATGTGGCTTCTCTTGTTTAGGAATATTGTAAGTCTTTTGGAGTGATCTGATTCATATTTCTTTATTTGTTCATATATCAAAAAGCAAGAAAAATAGTTTTAACTCTGTTCAGTTTTATTGAAAAAAATTATGAAAAATCCGTCCATAGTATATTTCCAGGAGCTGTATTTTGTACTTTTGTTTATATTGCTCCAGGCTTAAGTACCATGATAAATATTAGATTCTGAAGTGGTATGATGAGTTAAGTATTTCTAAATGTCTTATCTTAATCTGGCCTAATAATGCAGTCTTTTCATATGCATAATTCCCAAGAAAGCCAGTGGGAGTACTACATTATAGGAGGAATGATAGATACATGTGCCAAGATGTCTTCATTTTGAGTCATTGTTTTAACTTGATTGACAAAGAAGAAAGTTGACTAAAGGAAATATATACTGAGAGTGGGAAGAAGGTTATTGATAATACTTTTGATTTCAAATTTATCTGTTTCACCACTGAAACATATATGCCAATAGAATGACAGTAGTCAGAATATCTGATGGACATCTCAAATGAATTTATATTCACTAATGCTTTCTAGGAAATATTTCACAAGTAGAACATATGCATTCTAGTCTGTAAAATTCTATAACTGACTCACTATGAAGAATTCCAACCTATATATAAACCTATGTATATATTATGTAAAATAGAATAGTGTTAAATATTCATAATATAAACCAGTTTGGCTTCTTTTTGCAAAGTCAAGCTGGGAATAACATAATATACTGGATGAGTTCAAATACTCAATCTTCTGTAAAATGCAAATCCATAAAACTTAGCAGTTCTTATCTGTATCTGTAGTAGGCCAGAAAAAATAGTAGTAGGAATACTTAATACTGTACAAAAGCATCTCACTGCTTCCAAGTGGCTTTTCTTCTGTGTTATCATCTATACTTATTTTCTGTACTGACTCTCATTCAAGGAACTACTTCATATCCTCATTAAACCTGAGTTTTCATTTCTTGTGTGCTAATTTTTCTTTTTTCTTAAAAGAAAAATTTTTAAGCTTTCTTTTTAAGCTTTTCTCCATGCTCTTTTTGAAGCTCATGAGGCTTTTGCTATTACCAAAGCATGCCTCCTGAAAATTCTTGTTTTGTTTCAACATGTGTTTGCAACAAACCTTGAAATCTTCATATCACACTGTCTTTTTTTCATTGTTTTCTTAAGCATCCCATTTCTTGTCTCTTGCAGTCCT